GAAGCAGTTTGCACCAAAGGCCAAATGGTTACAAGTGTAAGAGAGTGCTCCTTGGACCTTTTTGCAGTGCTAGAACCCTGAGCTTGTTCTGCAGCCAGCGCCTAGCCCATGCAGCCATAGTGCCTCCCGCTTTGCCAAGGCAGTAGATGTCTCTCTGCCTGGCTGCCACATCTAAAAGTTGGACAGGCGTGACTGTGCTCTCCAAGCAATTTTTCATGTATAGACTTCACAGCATTTCTTAGGGTGGATATGCATTAAAAAAAAAATTAAAAAAAAAAAGTGAAGAAAAGGAAAAGTGTAAGCAGTGGAAGCATGGATGGATGAGTGGCTGTAGAAGAATATAGGGATGTTGTCTAGATCTGCAGGGAAAGCCAGAGTGCAGATGGAATTGAATATCATGAGAGATGTGATAACATGAAGGGTGTCTTTAGCTGCATTGGGCAGAAGAGACAGGCAAAGGTTAGTGTACCCTCTCTGATAAATGAAAAGAGAGAGCTGGCCTCCTCAGACATGGAAAGGGCTAAGGTACTCAATGAGTTCGTTGACTCTGTCTTCATTTAATTCAGGCTTCTCACACCTCTTGTGTTCCTGAAATTCTAAGCAGGGTTTGGGGGAGCAAAATTCCTCCTGGTGTAAGAGTGGAGCAAGCTCAAGACCACCTCATGAGGCTGAATGTGCACAAGTCTAGGGGGCTAGATTACATGCATTCTGGGGTTCTGAAGGAGCTGGCTGATGTAGTTGCCAAGCTGCTCTCCATTATATTTGAAGCGGCTGTTAGGTGAAGTCTCTGGTGACTGGGAAAAGGAAAATATCCCTCTTATATTCAATAAAGGAAGAAAGAAAGACCCAGGGAACTACAAGCTGGTGAGCCTCTGCACCAGGGTAGGTCCTGGAGTGGATCCTCCTGGAAAAGATGTTAAAGCACGTGAAAGATGAGGAAGTGATCCGAGACAGCCAGCATGGCTTCACAGAGGGCAAAACATTCCTGACTAATCTGGTGGCCTTCTGTGATGGAGCTGTGGCATCGGTGGACAAAGGAATGGCAACTGATGTCATCTACCTGGACTTGTGCAAGGCCTTTCACATGGCCCCACACCATATCCTTATTCTAAATTGAAGAGATAAGAATTTGAATGTTGGACTATTAAGTGGATAAAGAATAGATCAGATGGATGTAGCCAGAGGGTTGTTGCCAACGGCTCTATGTCCAGGTGGAGGCTGGTCACAAGTGATGTCCCCCAGGGGTCCATCTTGGGGCTGGTTCCCTTTCACCTAAGCCATTCTATGATTCTATGGGAAGTATAGAAATTTGAAACAATGCTTGTACCAGGTGTAACATGGTCAGATTTCACCACTTCTAGTTGCTTCCTCATGGTTACAATGTGTGACAGCTGTAGTGCCTGAGATTTGCATGCACCTACCGCTTGCTGCTCCAGCAGAGTTCTGTACTGCGCAACAGTAAGTTCTCTCCCTGTGACAAAAAGGTGTTTTGATTTTCTTCATTTCCATCTGAAATGCATTTGACTTGGACTTTTTGTGAGTGCAGGGAGCAGCCCTGGCCATCGCTGATCTGTGTTGCAGAGCTCAGGCACGTGCTTGGCTTGGAGTCTGAAATGGAGGAGACTAAGGGGTGAAGAGAACAAGGTTCTCAGTAGAGCTTGGAGATGCCTTTTGTCCAAATGTCATGCTCTCCCTCATTTTCTGGAAGTGAATGTTTTCCCTTCACCATTTATTTTTCCAAAGTTCAATGGCAAAACCCAGTGCAGGGTTTTCATACAGAACCAGTTTCTGGGCATTTCACTGCCCCTGCTTTTTCTTCTTGCCTGAGCCAGTCCAGGAGCCTGCATTGCATTCCAACAAAGCATAATGAAACAGTTTCATTACACAGATACTGGGCTCAAAAAAAATGTCAGGCACAACAGGAGACAATTAAAAAAAGATCTTTTAAATAGCTTTTAAGATAAAAATAAAAAAAAAAAAAAAAAAAAAAAAAAAAAAAAAAAAAAAAAAAAAAAACCACCTTAATTTAAAATGTCAATTCTGGCATGAGAATTTTGCTCTTTGCATTTCGAAGAACAGAAGTTTTCTTTGTTTCACACATTGAGTTATAACATGGCCTGAAATCAGCCTTTAAATGGAGCTTGACTTACATGTTTTAACCTATTCCATGTTCCGTAACACTAACAATATGATTCAATGGTGCAAAGGATGGAAGAGCTCCCTTTTGAGGACAAGCTGGGAAAGCTGTGGCTATTCAGCCTGGAGAAGAGAAGACTTAGGAGAGACCTGATAACTGCCTTCCAATATCTAAAGGAGGGCTATAAGAAAGAAGAGTACAGAATCTTTAGGAGGGTCTCTTGTGATAGGGCGAGGGGAAATGGCTTCAAACTAAAAGAGGGGAGATTTAAATTGGATATAAGGAAGAAATTTTTTACAGTAAGGTTAGTGAAGCACTGGAACAGGTTGCCCAGAGATGTGGTGGATGTCTCTGGAGACATTTGGGGTCAGGCTGGACAGGGCTCTGAGCACCCTGATCTAGCTGTAGGTGTCCCTATTCATTGCAGGGGAGTTGGACTAGATGGTCTTTAAAAGTCCCTTCCAACTCAGAAGATTCTGTGATTGTATGATTCTCCATTTAGAACTGTGTGCTTTCATTTTTGCTGTTCTATTTGTATGAGGTATATCTGTGAGGAACAGAAGAAGGGAGAAAGCATGAAAATGATAGAGTACATTTTATTTCATATTTAATGCTGCTGGAAGTAAATTGGAGATGGAAACTGTTCATGTAATGGATCTTAGCTACAGAAAACTATTTTCTTTTGGCAATAAGGTACTGTCTGTCTCAAGGGCTCACACACAAATCTTGACCTTTGAGCAGTTGCATGTAGTGTCTTCTCTATCAAGCAAATTGATGCATAATGATCTGTCACAGGTACTCACACATTATATCTTTCCTGTCAAAAGTGATAATCCATATTTTATATAGAAGATTTGATGGCAAACACTTTGTACTTCTGCTGCTTTTTCTTCCCACTGTCAGGCTTAATGAAGGAAAATCATGGATAGTTTTTAAATAATGTCAGCTTCTTATATCACATTACCATGTCTGCTTTGAGAGTAGCCTTCTGCAAGAATCACAACATAAGAGTGAGAGAGAGAAAGACATTTTCATGTAGTTAACTTTAAAAAGTCGGTTTTTTTAGGTCTTAATTTCAAAATCAATATACTGCATACTTTTAAAGTCTTCTTGGAAAAAAACGTTCTATACTTAGTGAGCATAGTTAGTGTGTTCTGGTGGTAAAAACACTTCTCTTGAGGTTACTCTACAAAGTAACTAACTCAGAGATAGAGAATTAGGTTCTTATATTCTTATTGAAATTGTTTGCCCCAGCAGGGCCAAAGTTTGTTCTTTTCCTACCTGTTCAGCTCTACTGAGGGAAATATCCCCCATTCTGTATTCTATCAATGAAAAATGTAAATCTGAACTCTGATTTCTCAGATAGTAGAACTGGTCAGTGAAATCTCAGAGCATAGAGAAGTGCTTTTCCCATTCCTGGACTGTCTTTTTGCCAAAACTGAACAAAGCATAGAGGTATTTCCAAACTTCCCCTGACACCAGGCAAACTCACCTAGGCTAGCAGTTAGAGTGGCAGTTTTCAGCCTGTAAGCCATAGATTCGTATGGGCTTCTGGTCTGCCTCCAAGGGATCCACAGAAGGGAGCCAACAAAAGCAAGCTCATCGTTTGTATGAATTATTTATCAGTGTCTACTGATAAATTCAAAACACTGAAACAGGTGATGAAAGTATGGCACATATATATTTACAGAAGTTTTACAGGCCTGAGGACAAGGCAGAACAAAAAGACAACAGTATTTACACGTAAGATTTATAAATGTAAATGAGGTCTGGATTTCTCTTGCACACAAAATATACGTATAACCAGATGTCTCAAGTTGAAAGATGAAAGCTTACACTCAGAAAAGTGTCTGGGTTTTTCTTACAAAAGAAGGTAAAAAAAAAAAAACTCACAGACTTGAAGCTACTTGATGTTTAATTATCAAAATCTTATTTAAGAATGAAATAATGAGGTAAGAATTTGTACAGTACTGAAATATTCAAAACATTATTCTCTACCACTGAGAAGTAATTCACTGATGAATATTTGCTACTGAAAAGACTGTCTGCAGTATTTCTCCCTTCTCTGCTACTTCTAAGCCCTCAAATAAGAACAGAACAGACTTGAGCAGTGAGGGTAATAAGTTTTCCTTTTGACGTCTGAAGATTTAGAACAATCCAATTGAAATAAAAATGTAATCCTACCTATGCTTCATGCTGGGATTGGAACAGGGTAAATGCCACAGTTATGTCAGGTCGTCAGGTTGTGATTGTTAGAGATGCTGGAGAGAACATTCCAGGGAAAGAAGGAGGGCGAGAAGGATGGCCCTCCTGTGTCTTTTTATTAACACGAATTAGCATCAAATCTAACAAGGGCATATTTCTGCACAGCAGAACTCAATAAAATGTCACTTAGTCAGTGGAGGAAATGATAAAGTGAATTGTTTTTCAGTCATCCAGCTAATAAAAGTAAATACAAATGAACATGAATACAAATGAATTCATTTGCTGAGCTGTATGTATACAAGGTTAATTGAAGAAACAGCAGAAAAGCCACTGAAAACTTGAAAAATAAATGTTCTCTAGGATGCTACTGTTCCATAGTATCTATTTCAAATATAATTTGCTCTTAGTCATTTCTGCAAGAAATGGGCACATCAGCTGAGATTCTCAGTTTTATAGAGATGAAATAATCACTGGAATGAAATGTTAAGTCATAAAAGACAGCTAAAAATGAAGCAGTCTGTAAGAGCTGTCATAGAGCAGGATGGTCCACCCTTCTGAGCACAGAGGAATCATTGTACCATGGTTATTTTGAAAGAAATTGTCTAACTTATTATTCTCTTCCCTCCCTTCCCTATTTTTTTAATGCTTGTCTCCTCAGTGCATCCTAACGTGAGCCAGGGTTGCCAAGGAGGGTGTGCTACATGTTCGGACTACAATGGATGCCTGTCATGTAAGCCCAGACTCTTTTTTGTTCTGGAGAGGATCGGCATGAAACAGATCGGAGTATGTCTTTCCTCATGTCCAAGTGGATACTATGGGACACGGTATCCTGACATTAACAAGTGTGCAAGTAAGTGCTGGATAAGGGGAAGCACACAGGTTTGTTTGAATGCTCTGTCTCCTTAGGAGACAAGACAACAGAGAAGCAGATGGACAGGCTGAGTCTTTTTCTGTTCAGTTCTTTTACAGTAATGCAATAGATATTAACCTGAGCAGGGAGTTAAGGTGAAAACCCACAAAACTGCCTAAAGCTCAGGGCTTCCAGCTCAGCATGAATGACCTGCCTGAGTGCTGAGAGAGGGCTTCCTCTGCACTTTCACACAGAACTAGAGCATTAGCAGGCCACAGGCACTGCTTTCCAGAGGCTGCTCAGCAAGTTGGAGTGGCAGTGGGGCTTAGGGAAAGTTGAGGGCCACTGAACCTTGGAGCTTGGGGCAGTTTAGCTCATTGGCCTTCCCCTTGAGACAGAGGAAATGATGGCTGGTAGCTCTCTGTGGAGATGTGTTTTGTTCTGGTCTGCTTATAGCTCATCTTGCATGCAATGTAGTCCTTTAAATGCGTGTACCAAAATGCAAGGTCTCAACCTGGTTTGAGGAGGTTATCTAATTCGTGTTGCCTGCAGGCTGGGAAGCAGAGAACTACTCTATTCTAAAGAATTATCTTATTTACCATTTGGACAACATTTTGACCCCATTATGTATTTTGAACCATGAATGTACTGGTTTTGCAATATCCTTATCATTCCTTTTCTTTCCTTCCCTCCTGTGATCTTTGTTGTTGAGTTCAACTTTTAACCCCACAGGTGATATAAAAACATAAGTTTGACAGCCAAGACACTCTTCAGATTTTGCCTGGTACTAAAATCTATTTAATGAAGAAACCCTAGAGTAAAATCTTGCAGAGTAACATGACACTGCAAAGAACTTGCTCAGTTTTCAGCAGTGTGTGGCCTTGCATATCAAACATAAGCTGTGTCATACACAAACTTTTGCTTAGTTATTTTAAAAGACCTGAGAACTGGGAAATATATTGTTTATGCTGATTTTAAGCAAACTCTAAATATTTTATTTCTCCTGGATGGATGGAGATAGATAGCGTGGAACTGGGCCCAGGACCTGTACCTATATGCACTACAACTAGTGCGTTGTTATTCTGATGGACTGTGCTTTGTCTTCAGTTTGCATAAGTCTGCAAGAATACACAAAGCATGTGACCATCCAGCATCAGACCATCCTTACTAATTTCTGACTCACATTTGTTGTGGTCCTCAATGTATGTACAGGTCATAAGGGAGTCCTAAAAATAATTTGCTTCCTTTGAAGACTTTAACATTGCTAGAGCCTTTTAAAGTGATTTTACCTTGAATTCTATTGTATTTGAGTCTGTGGTGTTTCACAACAAAGAGCGTCAGTGTTGTGTCCTCTTTGCATTTCAGAATGTAAAGCTGATTGTGATACCTGCTTCACCAGAAACTTCTGCACAAAGTGTAAAAGTGGGTTTTACTTATACAGTGGAAAGTGCCTTGAAAAGTGCCCTGATGGGCTGGAAGCCAACAACCACACAATGGAGTGCACTAGTATTGGTAAGTCCAGCCCCACATAAAGGCCCAGCCCTACCTGGTTTGCTCATGGGGATGGGGGATCTGTGAAGGGCACGAGCTGCAAGATCAGTTAGAGCTCAGGGAAAGGACAGCTCAAATCCACCCAGGAAATATTCTGCATCACAAGGTACAACAAACTCACATCACTTCATAAAAATCAAGCTTGGTTGTGCCCCAAAATACAGCTCCGATGCTAAGGGCAGTCCTGCCTCAGGAAAAAAAGCCCATTTCATCCTGCTGACTTGGCCTGCGCTGAGGTAGAATGGCATCCACCTTTAGCTTGAACTGTTACAGTGTTGGCTGCATCACTACCATCAAAGGTATAAAAATGTCAATGCAAGTCTTACATTATCTTAAAGTTTAAAATACTAACTGCTCTGGTTTTAGTCCTTTGTGCTATCTGTGCCTTTACAGCATGTGTGCACCAGCATTTTGAAGCTTATATTCCCAGAGAGGAGGGCTAGAAATTAAAATGGTATTCGTGCATAATCACCTGACTCTAGAAAGTGAGGATTAAAATCAGATGGCGAACAGCGTAGCGCTCTCTGTGAAGGAGTGAGATTGGCGGCACTGCTCTGGTGACTCATGGCTGCAGAAACGAGAGCTGCTTTTATATCTCTTCAAGCCTCTGACTCACAAGCTCCAATTCTTCAGGCCAGGGCGATTTTGGAGGTCAACACACCTAGCTGTCTGCTTCATCCCTCTGCCACCCCTGCAGCCGAAAGCAGGAAGAGTGATGTGTTTGCCTGCGGGCTGCTGCTATCCATGTCCCCCGCCATGAACACACTGAGGCTGCAGCAGGGCTCAGCTTATTTTGGTGCACTGGCTGTGAACTGTGGTGGCTGCGGGCTGCGAGCCACAGTGGGAGCAGTAACTTCTTCAGCCACCTGCAACCAGTGAGCGCTTAGGCACAGCCTGGCCATACTGGAAATCTCCTCCTCCACAGCATCATGCACATAACTCTCCCTGGCATAGCCCATTTGTCAGGGCAAGCAATCAGGAGCAAAAATAATGTGCGCTGGTTCAGTGTTTTCTTTCTCAAGTAGCTATTAGTTCAGGTGGTAGTGACGATATTTACGGTTTTATTTTCTTGCAAAGACTTTCATCTTTGGAAGCAATTCAAGGGATAATTTTTGTTTCTTGGTGGCTGTTTCCAAGTGCTATAGCCTTAGCTGCTTGAACAATGAGTCAGTCTTTACTCAGAAAAGCCATTTAAAGTTATGGAGGAAAAACAGAACCTTTCTGTGCACGTGAAGGCCAATTATTTTAACAGGAGAGCTCCAGTGTAATGTTAAAAACAAGATTACCCACATGACAGTTTACTGGAGGGATGCTCAGAGATTGTCTGAGATCAGTTACATTTTTAAGTTTTGAAAAATTTTAAAGTAAATTCTGAATCTGGAAAAATGTTGACTTAGGAAATCCTCCCTATAGAGAGGTTTTTTTCTTCTATAGAGAGAAGTTTTTTCTTCTTCAGTGGAGGCTTAGATTCTTAAGTAACACATGAGAAAGCAAATAATTACTACCTTTTATTAAGAGTAGGGTACTGAGGAGGTGGCATAGAAGTAGCATAGCTATTAAGACCACGTTTTGAAGCTCCAGGTTGCCCACATTTTTGTCTATACTTTTTGGGCAAGTGTCCAGTGGCATACCTTTGAGTTCCCAATATCACTGTAGTTTAGAAACTGCAACTTACACTTTTCTAAAAGGCTACAATCCTTCATTAGTACTAAATTTCCTCTGCTTTGCTAACTTACACTTTACATGTGTTCCAGATCTATCACTATTTAAGTTGAATGCCAAGCAAGAGATAACCAAAGATGCTTGGTTCCTAATGTAATGTTTCCATAACAGTTATTTCATTATAACTCTATCAATTTCCAAATTCAATACCTCAAAGACCAGCTGCAGCAGCTTGACACAGTGATTTCCTTCTGCTCTCTCCTGTTTAATTCCACTAAAACCAAAAGGAGCTCTACCTCCACAACACCAAGGCAACCTAAGAAAAGATCCCAGTAACTGATTTCATTGAGACCAATTGTGTTTTTGCTGCCATGTATCAGGGACAGAATTACAAAATAGCAGGTTCAAAATAGCATCTGACATAATTATTTGACATTATTGTATGCAGTATACCTTCAGTAGTACAAATTTACTCAATTCACTGATTTAAATCCTGATTCATTTCATTTGTGTTTGCTAGCATTTAGCTGATGCAGAATAAGATGAATGTACCATATGCATAATGTATACAAAAATATACTGGCCAGGCTCAGCTTGTCCTATGTTTGTTGCAGTGCACTGTGAAGCTAGTGAGTGGAGTCCATGGAGCCCTTGCACAAAGAAAGGAAAAACATGTGGTTTCAAAAGAGGAAATGAAGTAAGGGTCAGAGAGATCATACAACATCCGTCAGCAAGGGGCAATCCTTGCCCAGCTACAAGCGAGAGCAGAAAATGTATGGTACAAAGAAAGAGATGTCAGAAGGAAGGAAAAGGTACCACGTTATCATCATCATAATTTGAGTTTTGTATTGTACTTGTTTAAATATTCGCATCTGAATTCTCAAGCCTCAATTGCTGGCTTCCCCAAAACTCCCAATAACATGACATTCATTGAGCTGGAGGGAACTGTGCACTTCCCTGGTGTAAATAAAGTCCTAATGCTTCTGAAAAAAAATGCACTTTGTGTGATGCAGAGTACACAGCGTGGGTAGGATGGGAAGATGCACTCTCAGTAAGTACTGCTGAAAGAACTGCCTAAATGAGATGTTGCACATGCAGCAAAAAGGTCCATTATAAAACACAGCATGGTGAAAGGTTTTTGTTGAATATCAGGCAGTCAAATTTCATGGTTCAACCATAAGATTCCTCTGAACTGGTTCCTATGTCAAGCTCCTATTCAGGTAAGCCTGTAACTCCTACTATTGCAGCGCTGTGACCTCTCTCACACCCTGACTTCTTTGTACTAGCTCTGGTTGAAAAATGTGGCATGATCTTGCTTTCTACTTGCAGAGTCCCAGTGTAGCAGAAAGACCATAACTCTCTGGCAAGCAAGGGAAACTCCACTTAACACCTCCAGGGACAAAACATCCACAACCTCTCTGGGCAGCCTGCTTCAGCACCTCACCACTCTCTCAGTAAAAAACTTTACCCTGACATCTAATCACAATGTCCCCTCCTTTAGTTTAAAACCATTCCCCCTTGTCTTATCATTATCTGCCCTTGTAAAAATTTGATTTCCCTCATGTTTATAAACTCTCTCTAAATATTGGAAGGCTGCAATGAGGTCTCCCCGCAGCCTTCTCTTCTCCAGGCTGAACAAGCCCAGTTTCTTCATCCTGTCTTCATAGGAGAGGTGCTCCAGCCCTCGATCATTCCTGTGGCCCTCTTCTGGACCCTCTCCAAAAACTTCACTTCTTTCCTATGTTGGGGATGCAAGGTAGAGCAGTGTGTCTGCCTCAGGGGAGCAGCCAAGACAAGCTATGTACAGACTTCTTCCTGTTTAGACTATATATTCAATATGTCCATGAATATTATCGCTTTTGCTACTGCACGGTGGCACAGCTTGAAGCACAAACCTGTTACTTCACTGAAACTGGAAGAAAAGAGTATTTTTTTCTACAATAGTTACAATACAATATGTCAGAGCTGAAAATATAGTTCTGAACTTCAATTTTGAGTCTAAAAACTGTTGGTTTTCTTTAAGGTGATAATGATGCCATGTATTTGTTTTTGGTAATTTGACAGCATTCTCTGATTGGATTTTTTCTCTTTGAGAATTGTCTGTATTTCATACGTACTTTAAATGAAACTCCTCACCTATTTTACTGTCAATCCTTATTTAACAGGATCTGAGCCAAGCCAAATTTGAAAAATACTGCACACCACAAGAATTCCTTTAAAATCTTTATTTTTCCTGCAATGTGCATAAAACCATTATTCTTCTCTTTTGAGCAAGTCACAGAGTATATTCTAGTCTGTTTCACACTCAGTAGACAATTCCTTTGAACTTTATGCAGTCAGATGTAACCTACATTCCAACAACTATGTTCCAATACTGCTTACGCCTTTGGGATTTGCATGTGTATAGCTGAGAGGATTTTTTTAATGTTCTGAAAGACACCACTGTACAATCCTCTGTAATATTACCCACAAATGTCTGTCCAATTCATTTTTGTACACCTTCAAAGAGAGATGAGTTTATTTAAAATGAAATAAAAGGTAATCCTTAATAAAACTGAGGAAATTCACACATGAAATATTAGGTTAAAATAGGTTGAAGGGATGCATTAGGCTCAGAGTTTCCTTACGTTCCTACTGGGATAGGGAAATAAGGCTTTCCAACTTAATCTCCAGGCAACTTATCTTCCTTACTGCCACTGTCCCTTATTACTCCAAGAGAAATTTTTTGTTCCCCTGCAAACAAGAGAATGCTTGTACCAAAAGCTAAAGCAAGCTCTGTTCTTACGGCTAGATAGGCCAGTCAATGAGATGAAAGGGAGTTAACAACAAAAACTCTTTTGGACAGGAAAGGGAAAGTAAATACATTTGGACTTATTGTTAAGAAATTGAAGGGGCTGGCTGAGGTGGTTGCCGAGCCGCTCTCCATCATATTTGAGAAGTTGTGGCTGTCAGGTGAGGTCCCAGATGACTGGAGGAAGGGTCACGTCACTCCCATATGCAAGAAGGGGAGCAGGGAGGACCCAGGGAACTACAGGCCGGTGAGTCTCACCTCCGTGCCTGGGAAGATCATGGAACAGATCCTTCTGGACCACATGCTCGATCACATAAAGAATGCGCATGTGATCCGAGACAGCCAGCACAGCTTCACCAAAGGAAGGTCATGCCTAACTAATCTTGTGGCCTTCTATGATGGAGTGACAGCATTGGTGGACGAAGGGAAGGCGACCGATGTCATTTACCTGGACCTGAGCAAGGCCTTTGACATGGTCCCCCACCACATCCTCATCTCCAAATTGGTGGGAAGTGGATTTGATGGGTGGACGACCCGATGGATAAGCAATTGGTTGAAAGGCCACAGACAGAGGGTGGTGGTCAATGGCTCTATGTCCAGGTGGAGGCCGGTAACAAGTGGTGTCCCCCAAGGGTCTGTCTTGGGACCGGTGCTCTTTAACATCTTTATTAATGACATCGATGAGGCAATTGAGTGCACCCTCAGCAAGTTTGCTGACGACACCAAGCTGAGTGGTGCGGTTGATACGGTGGAAGGAAGGGATGCCATTCAGAGGGACCTCGACAGGCTGGAGGGCTGGGCTCGGGTGAACCTAATGAGGTTCAACACGGCAAAGTGCAAGGTTTTGCATTTGGGCCGGAAGAACCCCAGGCACCTGTACAGGCTGGGAGGAGTGATGCTTGAGAGCAGCTCGGCAGAGAAGGACCTGGGGGTCCTGATGGACGAGAGACTGAATATGAGCCAGCAGTGCACTCTGGCAGCTCGAAAGGCAAATGGTATCCTGGGCTCCATCAGGAGAGGGGTGGTCAGCAGGGACAGGGAGGTGATTGTCCCTCTCTACTCGGCTCTTGTGAGGCCCCACCTGGAGTACTGTGTCCAGGTGTGGAGCCCTCAGTACAAGAAAGACATTGAGATTTTGGAAAGGGTCCAGAGGAGGGCGACTAAGATGATCAGGGGGCTGGAGCACCTCCCCTATGAGGACAGGCTGAGGGAGTTGGGCTTGTTCAGCCTGGAGAAGAGAAGGCTGCGGGGTGACCTCATTGCAGCCTATCAATACCTGAAGGGAACCTACACCCAGGAGGGGAGTAAACTCTTCAAAAGGGCTGACAATAGCAGGACTAGGGGAAATGGTTTTAAGTTGAGGGAGGGAAGATTTAGGTTGGATGTTAGGGGGAAGTTCTTTACAGGGAGAGTGGTTAGGCCCTGGAACGGGCTGCCCAGGGAGGTTGTGGATGCCCCGTCCTTGGACGTGTTCAAGGCCAGGTTGGGCGGGGTCCTGGGCAACCTGATCTGAATGTGTATGTTTGGTGGCCCTGCCAGGCAGGGGGGTTGGAACTACATGATCCTTGGGGTCCCTTCCAACCCGGGTGATTCTGTGATTCTGTGATTCTGTGTGAAATATTGAAAATGCTATTTGCATTGTACAACTTTACACTGCCACTTGGGGATTGCTTTGGAGACTCGCTTCCAGTGCATTGACTAAGTCTAGCAGCAGACCTAGCAAGAGCCAACAGTGCTGCAATCTGTCATCTGCAATCAAACAAGTTAGAAGACAAAGTTAGTTCAGTCAGTCTTTGCCATTTCCATGTTGACTATATGTCTGTGGCCGAGGGAGTAAGGGCAAAGACCACATCATGACGGGGTATGCTCGTCACAGATCCCTCAGTGACTTTGCTCAAGAAGTTGAAATCGGAGACAGGATGTTAGTCATTTCAGTTGCTGCTATCTCAGAGAGGCAAGTGCATATTTCTGGAATAGTTACACAGAACAAGATAAGACAAATAAAGATGGCTTTTTGTTTCCATCTGCTTGCTAGTATGCCATTAAAGCTGGTGTGATCCAGTATAACTCTTTTTTTTTTTCTTTCCTTTCTCTGTCTAGTAAATTGAGTTTTACTGGGAGAAGAAGCTAGAGTTTTGAGTGCACGTCTTCAGATGACTGTGGTATGCAGGAGTCCTGTCAGGCATCCATTAAATATGCAAAATCACCTGTTAGCTAAAAACCCCAAGGCATTTGTCAAGATTTTACTTCAGCTGAAAAAAATGTAACTTTATTCTAACAAGGTTAATAGATAGGTCACAGTGAAAGTAATGCTTCCTATTAATTTCTATGATAACTGCAACCAATACAAAGAGCACAATAACACTACTTGATAGAAAAATTTCTCTTAATATTATCAATATTATCAAATTCTCTCATAAAACCATGACAGCTACAAAAAGTTAATTTTCAGCATTATCACCACCATTAGCTATGCATTTTTGCAGCATGAACAAAATCCTGCACGCTGCACTTGTAAAAATCTGCACCAGTGGAGGTGACCCAATGTTTCACAGGTGCTGTGATGGTGTCATTGCTAGGAAAATGCTACCCACACAGTCCATCTTTCATTGGTCCAAGCAGATGGAATTCAGAAGGAGCCAAATCTGGACTATACTATGGGTATGATAAGACAGTCCAACCAAGACTGACAATTTGCTCCACAGCAAACTGGCTCGGGGCCTGGCATTATATTGTTGCAAGAGGAAGGTTATCTTCTTCTCTAGTCTGACTCAAAGTTCAAGTCTTCAACTTAGTCAGGGTTGTGATGCCGTGGTCGGAGTTAATGGTTTGTTCAGTTTCTAGGAAATCTGGAAGGATCACTACTTTCCTATCCTAAAAGATAGTGCTCATCACTTTACCCACTTAGGGCTGCATCTTGAGCTTTTTCTTTAATGGGAAATTCATGTGTTGTCACTTCATGTACTGTCATTTTGACTCTAGCTTTTGGTGGTGATACCACATCTCATAAATGGTAGTGAT